ACACTTCTCATCTTCTTTTACGATGCCCTGATACCCAATCTAGAGAAAGATATTAGAGAAAACTACAGATCAATATCCATCGTGAAATGGAGGCAAAAATCCTTAGCAAAATTTTAGTAAATCAAATCCAATAACGTATTAAAATAGTAATAACCAAGAGAAATTTATCCTAGGAACACAACATTGGTTTAATATTTTAATAGATTGTTGTAATTCACTATTTTAAGACTAAAAAAGAAAAAACGTAAGAACAGTTCAAAAGATGTAAAAAACTACCTGACAGAATTCAACAAAATTTGTGATAAAAAAATCTCATTGTTTTAGGGGTAGACAAGAACATTCGACGCCGGATCATGTGGGTACCTATAAAAAAAATAGAGGCCGCCTGGCTGGTGAGACTCAGTAGTTGAGCATTAACCCATGAACCAGGTGGTCATGGTTTGGGGCGCATGCCTGGGTTGTGGGCTTGACCCCCAATGACTCTCTTTCATCACTGATGTTCCTATCTCTCTCTTCCTCTCCCTTCCTCTCTCTGAAATCAATTAAAAAAATATATATATATTAAAAAACAAACAACACAAATCTAGAGCCCAGCCATCTCACTTACTGATAAAAGACTGAATGCTTTCCCCCACGGTTGGAAATAAGGTAAGACTGTCTTTCCTAACAGTTCAAAATAAAGTACTAGGGCTCTGGCCAGTTTGGCTGAGTGGTTAGAGCACCAGCCCTGGACTGAAGGGTCCTGGGTTTGATTCAGGCCAAGGGAATGTACCTTGGTTGCAGGCTCCATCCAGGACCCTGGTACAGGAGGCAACTAATCGATGTCTCTCTCTCACATCAATGTTTCTCTCTCTCTTCCCCCCTTCCACTCTCTCTGAAAAGCAATGGAAAAAATTTCCTCAGATGAGAATTAAAAAAAAACAAAGTACTAGAGGTCCTAGCTAATATAATAAGACAAGTAAAAGAAATAAAAGGCATATAGATTGGAAAGGAAGAAGTAAAATTTTTTATAATTGTCAACTTTTTCTCATCCCAGCACACTTGAGGATACAATATGCTCCCATTAGTGAATGCAGCTCACTACCACGGTGACTTTAATGGGGGCCATGTCTTCCTTGGTGTATATATACTGTGGGAGGAGGGGCCATAGGCATGTATACATCTGAAAAAAGCCTCAGCTTTGAAAATCCCTGCTATGGATGCAACCTGAAGCCACAAAATGAATTAGGTTACCAAGCAAGAATCTGAAATCGGCGGGGTCTAGCTGGGAATTGTACATAGAAAGGGAGGATCATGGGATGAGGAACCACGAGACTGAAGTCCCCATGAAGGTAAGAAGATAACGGGAGTATGGTGTAGGGAAGGCAGAAAATCTGAGCAGTTTATACCTGAGACCCTCAAGTTCTTCCATCTGGGCCATCTCCCTCATTTATATTCTTGCCAGGCCCCTGTTGGCAATGGAGTTTGCAACTTTTAGAGGGGCCAAAAGAAGAACTTGAATCTTAACAAATAAACAGGCACTTATCCAGGGGACAAAGAAAAGGTCCCCCATGCAGAAGGAACAGTATGTGTAAAGCACACATGTTGCAAAGGGTATTACTTGGGGTGTGTGTGCATGGGGAGGAGGGAGAAGTGAACAAGAACAGCACGGTGGAAGCAGGTGAGATGAGGCTGGGTCCAGACTGGGAGAGGTATCCCCTGTCAAGGTTTTGAGCAGGGGAAATCAGACTTGTTTTTAAAGAGCCTTAAACAGCAATGAGAACTGGGTGGAAGTGGGACAGAAGGTGGCACAACAGTCTAGGTAAGGCAGGATGAGGGCTTCTAGCTGTGGGATAGTGAGGAGGGGCCTGGTCCCAGTAACTGGACAGAGGTAGACTGTGCTAGGGAAGTAGAATGGGTGGGTGGAGAAGGGTGTGATGACAAATGGAATCTGAACACAGTACTAATACCAACCACCAATACTCACTGCACACTTCCTGTACACATCCAGTGTGTCCCCAACTATCCCAGGAGGCAGGCATGACTATCATCTCCCAATCACCAAGAGGGAGGCTCAGTCAATTGCCTGGAAGTTCTCCCAGCTGGCACATGGTTGAGGCCCTGATTTAAGTCCAGGCAGGATGGTTCTTCAGGGTTCATGGTCTTCCCCCATTTGGCCCATTAGGGAAGGGCATGAATATGGGAGTGAGGGATATAGGAATTGAGGAGGGATTGACATCGAGTTCTGCAGGAGACAAGGTCCAGATCATGGCTTGGAAATAGGGGACTGGTCCTTAGGAGAAAGGCTGGAGAAGCAGACTTTGAGTCTACCTACACAGGTGGAGCTGAGCTGTGGAAGGGAATGAGAGCAAGACACAGCTTGGGGAAGACTACCATGTACTAAGTAAGTGGGAGTAAAGTCAGGAGAGAACAGTGAGGGAGCCTGGTCATGAACACAGGAAGAGAAGTAGGAAAGACACAGGAGTTTCATTCCAAGGCATTGTGTGATGTGGGAGCCTCCACTCATCTCCAGGGCCCAGCCCCAGCTGCCTCACCAGCTTCCTGGTCACCCCTCCAACATGCCCTCCCCCATGCCACTCACCTCCCTCACCACCACCTAGTTAACTTTCACTCTTCAAAAACTTTTTTCCTTAAACTTTTATTGACGTATAATCCACTCATTTTTCAGTATTTAAATATCAGGGCTTCCAAGTGTTCAATACCTTCACTGTTCCCTTAGGAATCAGTCATTTCCTTAAGCATATGTTAGGCCCCTTATATGCTCTCACTCCACACTTCGTGTTTTTTTTTTTAACGAGTCAAACTTCCATTTTATTGACAAATACAAAAAATGCCTCCTTTGCATGTTATATATTTTTTCCTTAAAAGGCTTCTGAGAGTCAGGTAGATTAAAAGCTAAGAATGTGTTTCAGCTTTTATAGTGAACCTTTTAGAAAAGGTTTAATAACGTAAGTCACCACATCAGACAGAGAACATATGGTCCCACAATCATTTTTAGATCTATAGCTCATAAAAATAATTAGACTCTGCACTGGTCTGCTCAAACAGAAGCTTAAAAATGTTTTAAGAAAATGGTCAAATAAATCACTTCCTGTATACAACTTATAGACTCTCCTCCCTGTAGGTCAGGTCCATGAAGGCAGATGCCAAGTTTATCTAAATCAGGGATTGGCAAACTTTTTCTGACAAGGGCCAAACAGTAAACATCTTCAGCGTTTCGGGCCACAGGGTCTAAGTCATGACTATTCAGCTCTGCCATTGGAGCCCCAAAGCAGTGGAGACAATATGTGAATGAATGGACGTGACTGTGTTTCAATAAAGCTTTATTTACAAAAACAGGAGTGCCTAGTTCTCTTCCTATGGCCATAGTTTGTTGACCCCGGGTCTAAATCACCAGCAGCCAATTTAGCACTTGGAATATAATTTTTTCTTTAATGAAGGAAAAAAAAAGTCACCGGTTTTGGTAGTTAGATGGAAACTGATACTCAGGGGAGGTGGTTTGAGTGGAATGGTGGGGGTGGAATTGAGATAACAGCGGTTCGAGAAGTAAGCTTCAGTTGAGGAAGTAGTAACTTCTCTTTTAAGAGCTTCACAATTTGGGCGGCAGGCTTGGAGAATTGTACTGTCTTCATGGACAGGTACATTAGGAGCATGTTTGCATGCTGTGACAAGGCAGGGCTGGGGAAGAAAAGGGAGAACTGAGGAAGAGGGCGGCTCCAGGGCTCAGGTGTGTGGGAGGTGGGTCATGACAGAGGAAGACGCCTGCTGAGGATGAGGGAATAAGGAAGGTGGAAGGAAATAAGGGGAAAGTCTTGTATTCCTTTCTCCTGTGAAATGTGAGCCAAGGCCATCTGGTGAGGAGTAGGATCGAGGAGGTTAGAAGCCCAGCATGCGTCAGACTGGGAGGGCTGGCAAACAGGAAGGAGGGGACACCCAGGACAGGGCTTTGGGCCTCACAACTGCCACAAACATACCTTTCACTTTTCTCTCCTTATTTGAGGGAGCACTTGGGTACTTCAGAGCTGTGTTTTCAGCTCTGACTAGGTATCAGGTGTGTCACTGACTGAGTCACCAGCACTTCCTGCTATCATTTCCTGTCACTTCACTTTCCCATGCAGGTAGCAACGGACCAGCTCTGAGGAGGATGAGGTCATGCTTTAAACATGCTATAAACAGTTCTTTTTTGGAGGATATTGAAAGTCATTTGAATTTTGGACAGTTAGTGGTAGTTTCACCTCCAGGCCTTCAAATGTGTATGTGTATGCAGTAATATGTTTCTCTATCAGGCAGAATTGACCTCCTCTTTCAATGGAACCATTTGATTGGGGGTTTGTAGTAAAAAGGAACCATTTGCTTGGAGGTCTGCAGTAAAAATAGCATTAAAGCAATTTAATTTTACAAGCCTAACACAGTATTAAACACAACTCACAGAGAAAGTATTAATATTATATTTAAATACCCTGAAAGGTTTTCTGAGTCAAAAACCTACTTCCAGTCAATGTCACTTATCCGAAGAACCAGACACCCTAAAAAAAATCTTACATTTCAACATTCATTAATTAACCAATTATCACTACTAGAGCACGAATGTGTGAGAAGGGTTCAGGATCTACTCTTTGACTTTGCAGGAAGAATGAAAACCATCAAAATGTCTTTTGGTTGACATGTGTGAAAAAATACCCAGTATCCAGACCTGTTTTTTTCTGCCTTATTTCAAGGTGTAACTACTGCTGAGACATAGACCGAAGGTTCTATGTATCTTCTAGACTTTAATTCCTATTTTCATTTTGAAGTTTTCACTCCTCACAAATCAAAAGGTAATTTTCTTAAAACACAGCAATCCTCACTGTACTCGATCTCAAGTTCTTCCAGAGATGACAGGAACCAATGTCTCCAAATTCACTAGCATGTACAACGGCGAGGCCTACCCCGGAACACACTTATTTGGAAGGACTTTTGACACATCATGAGATATATATTCAATAAATTTCATCTCTTACCCTATAGTTGGGTTGATGTTCGGATCAAAACTGTCTTCCACAAACCGCCATACAATACTTGATTTGCCCACACCGGTATCCTGAAAGAGAATGGTATGGATGAGTAAGGGCTAGCTGCTTGCAGATCCAAAAAGCTACCTTGTGCCATAAGTTCAGGATTTCAGAAAACTCATCTTGGGTAAATTTTTAGAAGTTAAGGGACACAATGGAGGTTTTCATAAGGATTCAATGGGAGTAATTAGGAGATTTCAAATGTATTGTAGGAGAGGGGTTTTGCCGTTTTTAAGACTTTAGAAGCTTCGAAACACCCCAAGTTTCTGCTTCGTGTGAACACCGACAAACTCACTTTCTTTTTAACTGTATAAAGTAAACTAGGAACTTTTGCATTACTTCTGGGTAGTCCCGGGCTGATCCCAGCCCCTCCCTGCTGCCTGGGACAGGAAAGGCTAGTTTTGGGACCAGAGCAACTCCAGGAAGCGCGCTCCGAAATGGCACCACTGCCCCTAAGAGACAGGAAGCGATGGCTTCACAGTTTTGGGGTTTTCGGCTTTGAACGTCCTTCCAGGAAAATAAGTGAGAAGTGTCAGGGAGAGCCCACAAGTTCAAAAACACCAAAATGACGGGGAAGGAGGCTCATGCTGCTTGCAGAACCCAAGGACCAGTTGTTGGTTTTACTTCGGGAGACTTGGCCAACTCTAGTACCTGGGTAGGAAACTACTTACAGCTACTCTTAACCTAGATGCAAGGGGGAGGCAGGGAGAGCTCTTGGCTTTGGGGGGGCGGGAAGAGCCCTGGG